ACCTGTATCTATACATTGTAAAAAGATGAATAATGTATATTATAACATCAATTTTGTAAAGAAAAGTTTCTTGAAAATGTGACTTTTTTGCATGGCTTGGTCAATGTAGTCATGGGCAATAGGAAATATATAAAACATAAATTTTTTCCTTGACTAAAGAATATTCAACTGGTCAAGTAGGAATTGCAGGGCATGCATTTCCATGACCGTGAATTTTTTATGATTACGCGAAGCCTTAAATAACATGAAGATACCTAGAGTAATATTACAAAATCCTCCATGTAGACTTACAAATAATAGTTAATAAAATTATAGAACTCAAGAATGTAAGTAAAATTATGAAATTCACTCATAGAACTCAAGTAAAGTTATAGAACTCACAGAACCCAAGTTAAATTTAAATGTGTTTTACTTTTACATTTATAAATGAGTGATAAATTATCATCTCAGTGTAAGATTGGTAAGTATTACCTAGCTGGTATTTTGAAAATATTCTTAAAAACTAGAAACTAGTGTATGAGGACATTATTACCTTATGAGTAGCTATATTAACTAATATTAAAGCTGAGATTTTTCTGGTTTCTAGTTCATATAATTAAAAAGTACAGTTTTGTGTTTTCATTTATTGTATAATTGAGAAATGAACAGAAATGTGAAATGTGAAGCTCACATTTTCATGGACAAACACAAAACTAAGAGTAAAAATAATAATGTATTAAGAATGATGATAAATAATAATTTGCATTTTAAATTCTTCTGTAAAGAAAGTCAAAACACCTTAATGGCTGATCATCTCTTTAAGTAACTACATTTGTACTTTATGTGTACTACTTCTAATATACAGCAAGACAGAAAAAAAAAGTTCTACTATTATGTACCACATTAATTTAAAGTGGGAATTAATCTGATCTTTATTTTTTTTTAAGGACAAGCATACAAGGCACTCTTAGATGTGTAGTAAGAAACATTTTCTTTTTACCCAGTCAAACATAACACCTGAAAGTAGAGGTGTATATGAAGTTTATGGAAATGATTGGGTGTAACTAATCAAATGGTACTATTTTAGAATAACATTGCAGAAAAATATCCTCAAAATTATAAATGAAGAAAAAATGTTCACACACTTTGTGTTTGTTGCCGAAATTGCTAACATACTAGAAGGGAAGTTTTGAAAATCATGATCTAAGGAACTTAATTGAGTTCCTGTTTTTAAGATTCTCTTAGAGATTACAGACGTGGGAATAAAGGCATGCAATGCATATGTTCGTAATAAAGGTACAATTTTTCTTTCACTTTTTCATTCTAAAATACTGAGCTTACTGTCTATATTATAATACTTTAGCCTTCTATGTCTCAATTTTATTTCATACATTTACCATGTATTTAATTCTCTTTTGTTGAGGACACCATGCATGTATATCAAAAATTTTTCTAACATAAAGAATCTAAAGTCAACCCTAATGTGAATCTTTCAAAATTATACTGTAAAAACCATGTAAGAATGTAATCCTTTAAAAATTTATTTTAGTAGATCTTATTCTGCTTCCTCAATACATTTTCTTCTCTGAAAGTATATTAAAATGGCTTATAGTAGTACTACCAAAAAATCTGAAAACACAGATGTTCAAACAAAACTAGAAATACTCCCACTAGTAATAAGCCTCCAGCCTTCAACCTCTTCTCAGTGAAGCCCTGTTTGAAAACACCTGTTGAGAACTTTCTCTGAAACTTAAATAATTCTTGATAAACCAGGACTAGCAGTTACTTGTGTTACTTGTGACAATTAGTGATGATCTTTCCTTGATTTTAGATTCTAATATTAACATATGAAATAATGCATATGGAAATTGCTCTTATGAAAAATGCTTTTATAAATTTGTATAACAATCCATTTGTTTCACATACCACAAAATCTGTAGTCCTATTTTTCAAAATATTATATCTTTAAAATGCATAAAGTATTTAATTTCAATGATCTTTTATTCTGAGTCACACTACTGAGGATATTTTCATCATTAGTCCAGTATTCAAGGACTTCATAAACTGTCATTACTTCAGCTGAGAAACTCAAAATAAAATTTTTTAAAAATCTGAAATAAAATCTCTTTTCACAAAGCACTCTTTTTACATTAGCTTACATAATTGTTCAGCATCCACAGTCAATAAAAATACTGTTATGTCCAAGAACCTACAGATCGTAACCTTAAAATTTTGGGCCCTGCACTCCCCCAAAATCTTTTGATGCTTAGAAAAATCTTAATTTGAGCTGTAACAGGAGTCTTATGGATCCTGAAGCTTCTAAGTTTCATGTCACTGCTCTCTAACAGTGTATCTCAAGCAATTATGACACCTTTTATTTGATCAATAGAAATACACTGTACATCTTCAAACAGCACACAAGATGCTGGAAAATAAATTACACCAGATCTAGTGCCTGCTAGTCCAAGTGCACTCCGATGGATTAAAATTCTTCTTTCAGAAATACACATAAGGTGAATACTGTGTTTCCTCAGCAGGCTGTGTTAAATACACCCACTAATAAATGCACTAGAAACAAGATTAGGGAAACCTGAATACTTTAATTTAAACACATTATTTCAGCACAAATTATTTGTAGCACACTAGTTTTAAAAAAGAAAGAAAAAAGTCACTGTAGTCAATTTACTCTGTTCCCTATAACAGGTATTGAGAAAAATATGATACATTTAAAAGATAACTAAATTATTAGCAGTTTACAAAGCACCCCTTCTAGGACTGCAAAAGCTCAGTAGAAAAAAGAAATAGGTCATGTTTTAACAATTTATATTAAGGATATTTCCAGGCCAGAGCAAGAACAATATGAGAAATAGAGCCCGTTTGGAAAAAAAATTGAAGAAGTTGAAACAATTTTGTCTGTGTTTTTATGGTAAAAATTAAGATTCTAAAAGAAAAAGAATGACAAGGAAGCTAGTCCTTTTGTTTTCTGTTTAAACTATCTCCCTCTCTTCTTGTGTATGTAGTTGTGTGTATGTATGTGTGTGTTTTGCTTTAGCTCAAGTTTTACTGCTAATAAGCGCAATTGCCACTATCATCATCATCATTATCATCATCATCATCATCATCAACAACAACTATCCATCCATCAAGCAGTGACCAGCTTCAAGAACAGTATGATATAAATATGTTATGGGCACTCCATCCCTCAGAACCTTCTGGATAGTTCCATCCAAGACTGTTCCTCACTAATATGACCAAGGAATCAGGATTGCTGAGAATTCGACATCAGCAACTTCATTTTTACATGGACTCTAATAATTCAAATGATAGAATTTGAAGTACAAGATTAAGTAGTAACTCTCTGTGGTATCATTGGAATTGCCAATGGTAAAAATAAAAAAAAGGTGTGTAACATATGTGTGTTTGTAAAATACCTGTAAAGATCTATACATCTACATTTTAACATATCTCCCTGTAAAGAGATTATCATAAATACCAGTTTTATACAATCACAGAAAGACTTTCATAGAAACCACAATTTTTTTAAGAGAGGAATTTCTTGTTCAGTGTTATATAAATATCAAAAAAGCATGATTACTGGTATACAGTAAACACTGTAAAAAGTAGAATTTAATGTTACTACAATTTATACTTTAGTATTCAGTAGCAGCAAGTACAAGAGTCTGTTTTACAAGGATATTATACTATTGTAAGAAAATATGTTTTGCTAAGTTTTAGTCATTGTTACACTTATCTCAGAAAGTTTAAAGCTCTATTTTAATAATAAAAACACTCTTTAGTCAAATGTCATTAAAAGGTATGTGCCTTCCAAAGCATAAAATAATGAAATTATTTTCATTTGTCCCAAATTAATCCTCCTCTCAAAGTGTCACTTCTAGTAAAACTCAATTTTGAATTTCAAGTACTGTGCTTTCAGAGTAATTTGCAGTAACATGCATTTATAATAAGCAAAAATTAAGTTTATCTGTGACACAATTCAATAGTGGATAGAAGAAAATTGGCAGTGATTAGGAGAAACACAGTCACCTGCTGTTGTTAGAATCTATGTCCCTGCTGGGTCAGTTTTTTCCATATGTCAATAACTATGAATGATGCTATCTAATACATATCAAATATCACTGAGATACACAGAAAATACAGAGTATGCAAACTAAATGCATCCTGAATTTTTTTTTTGGCACATGTGCCTTTAGTGCAACTTTCCCTTCTGTGTTAAACAGCCCAAAATGAGTCTGTGACTCTCTTGTGAACTTTCTTCATTCCTCAAGGACACCCAGAAAACGGATCAGGAAAACCACAGGACAAAATCAATGTAAAGTTTTCATTGATAATTACTCATCATTACCCAGAGTCTACATGTATTCAAACTTTTTAAAGAGCTTCAAAGTATATTTCACATTTCCAAAGCATAAACAACTCAATGCATTATGCTGCAGTTTCAGCTAAATAATAAATAAGATTCATGTCCTTTAAAACATTTTTTTAAATATAAGACTGACTTGGGGGTGTGTGAAAACTTAGCTGAAATTGATTCGGACTCTGGAATTCTGGCAGGATGAGATTTTGTACTTCAAGTAGCTTCTTAATATTCGGGTACACATTTCTTTGCTTTGGCATCATATTTTTAAAGGAATTAAATTCACCTTAAAAGTGTATTAAGTTCTCTGGGAATCCTTTCATATAGAAAAAATGTAGACCATCAAACAAAAATAAAGTAAAATAAACTATGAATACTGAACACTGCTAACATTTTTAAACCTATAAAAATAAACTTTAAAAACACAACAAAAGTCAGATATTTACATCTTGTAGATTTTAGACCTTACACGAGAGAGGTTAAGTATAATGTACATGCAGTAGCAAATTGTAAACCATTTTCATTAAAAAAAAAAAAATCCCCTCTCATTGCTGCTGGCAATGTGGCTTGTCCTGTACCAAAGGTTTCAGGACAGCTCCCAAACCAGCAATAAAGTGAAGTCCCGGTTATGCTAAAAGTCTCCTACCTGAATTATGGACATCCGAGTGGCAGGGGTCTCGCTCGCATTAGTCCCTTGTCCAGTGAAGCTGGTGTGGCAGCCCGCGTGCCCCTGAGGAACAGTCAGGTTGTTGGAGGCTGGTTTAAGATACATCACCTCCGACCGGGGTGAGCTGAGGGGCAGACGGGTCTGGTAGTCAAAGTACATGGGGGAGGTGGCCAGGGAGGGGCTGCTCACCACGTTCATGACGTTCATGGCGTTCCTCTCCTCCACCTCGCTCTGCACCAGCATGATATCGTTTTTGTTGATCTTCTTCTTCTTGCCCTTGCCCCCGCCCAGCTGCGGGTGGCTGTACTCGGCAATGCGGCAGTTATAAGTGCGGATCTCCTTGTTCTCTCGCTTGCACTTGACGGCGATGGTGATCATGGCCGCTAGGAGGATGATAGAGATAGTGCTCAGAGTCACAATGAGCGGCAGTGACATGTCCCAGTGGTGCTGCTCCCCATTCACGCGGGGGACCCCCTCGGGCAAGGAGCCGCTCACCGAGCGGATGATGAGTTTGGCCACTGCGGACAGGGTAGGTTTGCCGTGGTCAGTCACCTTCACTACCAGCTCGACCACGGGAGTCACGTCCTCCCAGAAGGGATGCAGCGTGCGGATCTCGCCGCTGGACGGGTCGATTTCAAACAGGTGGTCGTCGTTACCGTCTACGATTTCGTAGGTGAGGCGCCCGCTCTCGCCGAAGTCGCTATCCAGGGCGCGCACGGTGCTCACCAGGTAACCCAGGCCGGCGTTTCGCGGGACCTGCAGCTCGGCGGTGTCGTTCTGCAGCGTGGGCAGCACGATCACCGGTGCGTTGTCGTTCACATCTAGTACTGTCACCCTCACAGTGGCGTTGCTCTCCAAGTGTGCGGGCGCCCCTGAGTCCTTAGCAAGTACCTTGAACTCAAAAGCCTTGGTCTGCTCGTAGTTAAAGGAACGCAGGGCGTAGATGGCCCCGTTGGTGGGGTTCACAGACACATAGGTGTAGATGGACACGTCGCCGATGTGCGAGGGCAGGATGGAGTAGGACACTGTGCCGTTTTGGCCCAGGTCGGGGTCCTGGGCGAGCACCGAGCCCAGGTACTCTCCTGGGATGTTATTCTCGTGCACCTGCAGCACGTAGAGTCCCTTGGTGAAACGAGGAGGGTTGTCGTTCTCGTCCAGAATCTTGACGGAAAACGACTTGGTGGAGTTGAGTGGAGGGGATCCCCCGTCCCGCGCCACAATGGTCACGTTGTACTCGTCTTGGGTTTCCCTGTCCAGAGGGCGGTCAGTCACCACCGTGTAGAAGTTGTCATAGTTCTCCTCAAGCTTGAAGGGCACAGAGCCTCCCGACCCGCCCAGGGCGCCGGCCCCGGCCGGCCCACCTCCTCCCAGGACCCGACACTGCAGTTGTCCGTTCTTGCCTGAGTCCCGGTCAGTGACCCGCACCAGGGCGATGACGGTGCCTGGCGGGGCGGCCTCGCTCAGCGCCCCCTGGCGCACAGAGACGAACCCGATGGACGGCGCATTGTCATTGCGGTCGATGAGTTTGACGGTGACTTTGCAGTGGGCTGGGATGGGATTGGGCCCCAGATCTCGGGCCTGCACGTCGATCTCCAGCATCCCATTTTCCTCGTAGTCCAGGTTGCCTTTGACGCGGATCAGGCCAGTCTTGGGGTCGATGGAGAACAGTTCCCGCACCCGGTCGGGCACGTAGCTGCTGAAGGAGTACAGCACTTCGCCATTGGGGCCCTCGTCGGCGTCCGTGGCATTCAGATCAATGACCACGGTGCCCAGCGGGGAGTTCTCGGGCACCTCCACCAGGTAGGAGGGAGCCTCAAAGACTGGGCTATTGTCATTGGAGTCGATCACCTTCACGTTGATTTGCACGGTGGCGGAGCGCGGCGGCTCGCCTCCATCCAGGGCGGTGAGCACGAGTGTGTGGTGGTTCTGCTGCTCGCGGTCCAGTGCCTTCTGGATAACCAGTTCTGGGAACTTGGTACCGTCGCCGCGGGACTTGACGTCCAGAGCGAAAAGACCGTGGTCGTCGCGAGTGAGCAGATAGGTGCGGAGCCCGTTCTCACCCGCGTCTGGGTCGTGAGCACTGGTGAGGGGGAATCGGGTGCCTGGGGCCGCATTCTCTGAAATGTCCATCTCAATTTGGTCCGAAGGAAAGGAGGGCGAATTGTCGTTGATGTCCTGGATCTCCACTTTGATCATGCAAATCTCCTTGTCATTGGCGAATACCTCGAGGGACAGCTGGCACTTGGCGGTGTGGCGGCACAGGGACTCACGGTCGATGCGCTGCTTGGTGTACAGGAGCCCGCTGTCGGCGTCCACGTCCAGCAGGTGTGGCGCAGAGTTCTCCAGCACCCGGTAGCTCCCGGACTTGCTTCGCCCGCCGCCGCCGCCGCGCTCCGAGGGCGGAAGCCCTGGCTGCAGTCGAGCATCCTTGCCGATGTTGCCGATCACCGTGCCGGCCCCCTGCTCCTCCGGCACGGAGTAGTTGAGGTTTTTCAGCGTCAGGGCAGGGGCCCAGAGTAGGAAACAGCAACAGATGGAAAGGTACATCCCAGACCGGTGGGATGGGAGAAGGAGCAGCTGGACTGGAGGGGCGAGCGACTGGGTGCGCGCCAGTGTGGAGCCCCCGCGCACCTTGCGAGGGCGACGTGAGCCACCAGTCGGTGGGTCCTTCCTCCTTCCGCTCCCCGGCTGCGGCACCCGGAGATCTCTCCTTATTCGCTAAGTTCCCGAACCTGTTGATCTACAGCATCCGCACTGGGCAAGAAGCAGCAGCGCGGCGGAGCCGCAGGGGCACGGAGCAAGGTGGAGGCTCCCTGCGGCTGGGGGCAAGCCCAGGGCTTTGTCTCTGCTGCCCGAACTTGGGGCGACTCAAACTTGAGTGAGGACGCCGTTGATAAGAAGTAAATCTAGACTGGTGATCATGAGGATAGAATCCGTAGGATACCCTCGCTCCCGCTAGGGCGCTGCAAATCCACTCCCTCCTGTAGCCTCCGGAATACACTTCGCCGTGGGTGGGGGAGGGAGCGGGGAGGTGTGTCTTCAGGCAGATCGGAAAGTGAAATCCTTACTTGTTTCTGGCCGCCTCCAGGGATGAAATTAACGGGGATGGGGAGCAGCGAAGAGAGTCAGATATATTTGAAGCTTCCCCGGAGCTCTGTGAAACGTCCGTTTGCTGGCTTCTCGGGCTGGTCTGTTTTCAGGCAGTGTTTTGCTGCATTTAGAGATCTAATCTTGCGTTTCTGGCTGAGGCAGCGGCGGCGGTGGACTAAATCTCCCAGTCAAAGCGGCCTCTCTCTCTCTCTCTGTCTCTCTCTGTCTCTCTCTCTCTCTCTCTCTCTCGCTCCCTGGCTCTCTGTGTTCCGAGCAGCCAGCCACAGGGAGGGGAGGAAATGCAGCTCAAAGAACTGGTGTCCCGATTTGTAGTTTCCTTCCTCCACCAAGCTCCTCCCTCTCGTTTTCCGAAAAGGCTTTCCCCTGAAGTCAAGAAAGCCACAGCCGGATCAGCGTTTGTGCAGTGTGAGTCTATCGGGAGGGGGAACGTGTACCGAGGTCTCTCAGCCTCTGTTGGGAGAACACACACTGATTTCTCTGCGAGAAGCCAGTAGCCGCCGCTACCATCCCATTCTCTACCCGCGAGCAAGGACTTCTCTCGCTGCAGTTTAATTCCAGCTTGCTTTGCTTCTCAGGCGAAAGGAAATCAACAGGCAACTCATGGTTGAATGTGCAGATTTGAAGGGGGTGGGGGAGGCGGAATGAGAAGGAAGGGGGAGCCACCTCCCAGTCCTCACACACACACTCTCCCTGTCTCTCGCTAGAAGGGAAACAGTCTCTGCATTCACAGGGCTGGGCTGTCAAGTGCCTCTCTTTTCTTCCCATTCACCATCTCCTTCCAATGGCCCTGTCTCCCAGTCCTCTTCATCTAGAAAGGAAAACCTTGGCCAGGAATAAAAGTGGTGGATATTTGAAGAGAATAAAGTGCAGTTTTTTTTTCCCTTCAATTTTTTTTTTAATAGTAGGAGGGGGTTGGAATAAAAAAAAAAAACACCTCAAGGTTTGGCGTGATGCATTCTGCAGTCTCGCTCTCACAGTCTCTGGACGACTCGGGAGGGCAGGGGGCGAGGAGCTGCAGCCGCGCGCGGGTCCAGCCAGGGGCGCCCACCCCGGGGAGCCGCCTCCGAGGGGATGTTAGGCACAGGTTTGTCTATACATATGTCGGGTTCTCGAGGCGCCTAGACCTACGGGAATGACACATCCAGAAATGCAGGTGTTCCGATCTGCCGGATGAGTCAGAGGCAGCAGAACGAATCGTATTCACTCTCTCCTCATGGTCCTCCCTTCACAGGCATTAGTTGCGGCTTCTTCCTAACGCTTTCTCTGACTCACTTCATGGAAAGGAAAGCCAGATTCTTGTTGTGGGGAAAAAAAAAAGGAAAAAAGCGAGAGAAAGGGAGGGAGGAAAGGAGAAAGGTGAAGCTGAATCCAGCAGCACTTTTACTCTACCTCTCTCTGCCGGGGTCCAAGGCTCGGAAAAAAATAAGGCGTCTGTTTTGCTAGGTGTATTTATTTATTTATTTTTGAAAAAGAAAATAAACCCTTTCCTTTTGGTTAAGCGTGAGGAACCCCCAAATCTTTCAAGAGTCTTTGGGGAGGCGGGAAATCAGGCTTCCAGTGAGTGTTCACAGCTTAGCCCCGCACCATAGTCACGATTTTCCTCCCAATGTTCTTTATTCACAAAGTCCAGCCCCGGTGTGCAGAGTTAATTGTGCAGTCCGTTGGGGAGGGTGTTTTTCTTTCCTCCTTTTCTGTCAGGGTGGTCTCTTTCAGTCTGGCGTCTGCCAGAATCAGCTCACATCCTGGGAGAGACGTGAGGATTTCAAAGCAAATACATCCATCTCCGCAGGCAAAGCATCGAAGAAAAAGAAAGGCGAAAATTCAACAGTTGGAGTAGCTTCCCCGCAGCCGCCCTCCGCTGCTGCTGCTGCTGCTACCACCGCAGCCGCCGAGCTCGTGGTCCCCGCTCTCTGCTCAGCGCCTCTTGCTGACTGACTCTATTCAGCTCACGCCGCGGCTTAAACATTGATACTGATTCCCTGCCAGCCAATCAGCGCGAAGAGGAAAGCCCTGCCTCCTCTCTCCGTGCCCAATGGAAGGTAGAGTGGAGACTGATGGAGGCGGAGCCAGGAGCCACGGCGCTTCAGAGTCATTGATTAGATCAGTTAGATGGGAGACCAGCGCAGCCGACTGAGCCCTTGTGCTCAGCTGCTGTTGCTGTGCCCAGGGCCTCGCTGTCGGGTCTCCGGAGTATTAGACTATGGGGGAGGGAGGTCTTAACCGTTATCCCCTGGAAATAAGAGAATAAAGGGGGAAAAAAAAGTTAGACAGTGATTTAATTTTGTCCGATGTACACAGGAACCGGAATCGCAGCTTGCTTGCAGAATAAGGTAGCTGTGATCTTCCTGGTGGATTTTTGGACACACACACACACACACACACACACACACACACACACACCATATACACACCCATACACACCAAGGGAAGCTTGGATCTCCGCTGCGGGTCTTCCAGTCCGAATGAGGTGCAGAGGGACGTGTATGTGTGCATGTGTGTGTGTATGAGGGTGTGCTGGGGCGGGGTGAGGCACTGTGATATGTATTTCAGTGAGTGTGTGAATTCGAGGGCACTCGTGCGCGCCAGCTTCTGCCCTCGCTGTTGCAAACACAATACGAGCAACAGCAATGAATATGTAACTTTCTTTCTCCTCAGAGAAAAAGCTGCAGTCCCGAGGCACCCATGCAAGGAAAGTCACTTGATTATGAAAGTGTTTCAGAAGAAAAGTAGAAGCCCAGTGAAAGAGAAACCCAGAGGCCGAGTCTCCCCAGAGGAGAAGTGCCTCTCCTTTAAGGAGAGATGCTCCCTGTCAATTCAAGCTTTATAGCTTGTTAAAACTCATATGTGGCTAGTAATATTTAGGGTTCTTAGTCCAGATTCAAGGTAAAGCCCACATGCATCCACCCACACGCAGTAGGTTTGGTATTTTGTTCACCTCAAGCTTGTTATTAAAGTTCCGTGGGGCAAGCTGAATTTTATCTCCTTCAGACCAAGTATGTGACGATAACAACATTTGCCAAAACCTTATGCATAGCAGCTGAACCATGAATATGAAGGCAGATCAATGGGAGATCTGTTAAGATTCATGTTTTGTAAATAACATCACCACCACTACCACCACACGCACACCATACACACACTCGAGGTTGGGGGGGGGAGGAGGGAGAGATGTTGTGAGTAAGGGTGTGTGGGGAGAGAGAGAGAGAGAGACTCCTGATTCACTGACTTCTTAAACTTCAGTACCTAATCTCAGATATTCTTTCATCCCAAATTATTGTAACAAACATGCACAAGTGAGGACTGCCTTTGCTGGTGATCCAGCTGTTCTTGGAAAGAGTTAAGAATGAAAAAAGAAACTGAAGCATTGAAGAAAAGGTGAGTGTTTTGATTGTTAGACTATTGATCTCAATTCATAAATACTAAACTTAAGTTGCCATTTATAAATTGTGAATGACTAAGATACAAGTCTGTAACATGAATCATTCAGGATTCAAAGAAAATCAAAAACAGACCAATTACAAGAAAGTTCTGATGATTATTGTTGGAATAATTTCTTAAACATTCAGGTTTTTAAAACTTATTTATTTCCCAGGGATTTAATGATATGATCTATGGTCTGAATTTGCAGTCAGATCTGGATGCAAAATCCACCACTCCCTTAAGAGAATATCTTTAACGGTTGAAAAATTTAAGGAGGGGCTCTTAACAACCACACCTTCAAATTCTAAACTGCACTTCCTCTAATAAGTAGTTTGGCATGCATATTCCTTTGCTCAGCAAGGGAACTAGAGCTTTTTAGAAATCTGGATTGGGATTGTTTTGTGGTTAGTGGGGGTTTCACTATGCTGCCTAATGAAATCTGATCTTTACATCTCTTTGGAGTTGGTAGTTCTGTCCCAGTATCTATACTTTGGAAGGTAGGGCTGTAAAGCTCTCAAAATCACCGCTAAGTTGTGATTGTCTACTCATTTATTAGTCATTACTATTTTGATAGGATAAATTTATGTTTTTTTTCATTGCATACTAATTTAAGGAAAATAATAAATTAGGCTCACTTGAAGTTTATGATAAGGCAAAAACAAGAGAATAAAAAAATCCAAGGAAAAGGTAGTATGGCTTATTGATTAACCCTAATTAGATGTGCTTTTATGCAGATAAGGGGAGAGACAAGGTATCTATGACTAGTGATAGAAAATGTATCCTCCTAGACACCAATTTGCCCAACCTCTCCAAAGTAATTATGTCACACTTCCCTCTAGTGTATGGAAAGAGAACTACCATGCCCATGGTGCATACCACAGGCTTCTGCGAAAGGGAGCCAAAGAGAACTATATTAAATAACATTATATTTTATAGACTTTTTAGAATTGAGTTATGTGGTTAAATACTAAAATGTACCCCAAATTATTTATTTTTGCCATTATGTCTCATCCTGATTGTATTTTTAAAAGAAAACCTGTCAACTGGTACTTCTAATTGTTTCCCTTTTAACCACACACAATTAAAAAAAATCATTCCTAATTTTTAACCATCTCATAAGTTCTGTCTTTTTTCAATAGATCTATATATTTTTCTGTTTACAGTGTAGTTATTGAGGGTTTTTTTTTAAGACTATGCTTAAATTATTGAACTCCTTTTTTTTCAAAAGAGAAATGATATAAATATGGCCAAACAGTTCAAAAAGCCTATTGATTTTTGTACTGAAGTAGGTAGGCTATGAACATATGAGATCTAGTGAAGGAATGTAGAAGAATGTAGTATTATTTATAACTAACAATATCTACAATCTCATGTTTTTCAAGAAGACACAGGTTTATAATCATGATTTATAATTATAAATGATAGTTTTAAACTTAAATCAAAATTACATTATTTCTTTTTTATTTACACATAATATTGAATAAGCAAAGATCTTGTGTGGTTTAATAAATATATATAAATGTGCATACTTATTCAGAAACTTTACTTGGAAAGAGACAAATGATAATTTTTAATTAATAAGATATTATACTAAGTGAGTTTTAAAATAAATTGATATACTCCAATAGTTTCAAACAGAAGTATTACCATCTATTTTTATAGACTGATAAAGACTGATTGATGCCACTACATTAAGTCAATAATTGAATTAATGTTATGAAAGAATAATCTTAGAGATGACTCTTAAATAAAATTTTCTGTTATTGAAGTTATTTTCATTTCTGTCAGATTATTCAAACTTCATATTTAGTATGAAGTCATAGTATAGTCATAGTTCAGAGAGTTTATGTATAGAACTACAATGGCAACAGTTATAATATTCTTCTAAAACTTTCCCTGCTTGCCATTTGCTTGAGTTCAATTAAATACAGTTCTTAAGAGATTTTGATGCTATTTGTAAAGCAGCCGCTGTTTATATGAATGGAATATTCTTTATTATTTTCTTCTCCATTGTTTTTACTATTTTTTCACTACCTGGTCTCATTTTTATTTTGTTAACACAGAATTTTTTAATATAAACTTAGTAGCTAACTGTTTTGATATAATAATTATCCATATAATTTAAATCCTCAAGCAAATGGTAGTATTTCATTCACAACTAGTTTTCCTAGTTTCTACTGCCTTTTAGAGATATTTGTGACTCACCTCCAACACACAGCTACTGGCTACTATTTGCTGATTTTAAAAAAACTTCCCCTTTTAACAAATGGTAAATTCACATTATTAATAAGACAATTACTAAAACATATTTTTCTCCTTGATGATGAACATGAATTCTACTGAACCAACACAAATTGACTATCATTTTAAACTTCAGGGAAAATGTTTATAACTTTACAATTTGGAAAACTCAATCT